ACACACACACACACACACACACACACACACACACACACAAACACACGTACACAGAGAGAAATAGAGGGATTTTTTTCTTCATTCTGCACCCTTTTCATTCATGACATTGTTGGCTTTTTTGTTTTTATTTTTACTGTATAGATTTTGTTTTATGAATGCAAAAATGAATAAACTAAATAGGTTAAACTTGATGTCATGAAGTTCTTCATGATGACAGATTTCTACTTYGATTATTTTCTGAATCTGATGTTGAAGCTGTCTGCCAGCAGGTGTCACCTGCTGCATGTGAAAAACTTCACATGCAGCTCAAACTGTGGCTCCAGCTGAAGTTCTTTGTTCTGCTCCTGTGTGGAAGAATGTGGCTCATTGAGCTGCACATATATGATGCTTATAACGTATGATGCTATTCAGATTCCCTTTTTTCCTTTTCTGCGATACAGATAGATCTTTGTGTAGGGCAAGAAAAAGAAAAAAAGAATTTAGAGTAATTTAGGTGAGTAAACAGGGAGGGAGGTGCTGACCTGCAGGAGAAAGGAAGCGTCTGAGCAGGAGGTGGACTAATTTAAGCGATCTTTACTCTTCCACAACCTTAAKGCCCTCTTAGTACCTCTTTGGCCTCAGTAAAAGAGCTCTTGAAGGGTTGAATAACATTCCAGAGTGAGAGAGTACCTGGTGACCAAAAGCTGCTTCAGTTCGTAGTAAGAGCAGGATGGAAAAGGTTGTTGTGGTGACAACAAAACTTCTCAGATCTCCAACCAAAACAGGGGATCTTGTCTRGGCTTTAAGTCTCTTTGAGTTTTACATTTGAACAAAAAGGAGGCCTCTTTACAAGGGATGGTGCTGAAACACAGGGAGCCTGTCTGGTTTTGGTGTATTGCTCATATATACACAGGACAAATACTTTATTATCCATCTTTAATGTCTGCTCAGATACTTGGGAGTAAAAAAGCAGGTGCTTACACAACATTTGTCTGTGTCTGCTGATTTGGCAAGTTCTAAACTTCTCTGTAGCAGAACAAGAGGAAAAGAGGCTGTGCATGAAAGAAAAAAGGAGTAAGAAAGAAATATTTTTTCTTATAAAAAAAGAGGTTTTTTACAATATACTGTKTGAGGTGAAGCTCCTGACGTTGTCCGATTTGGGGTTTGAGATGTAAAATCAGACATCAAATAATTGCTAAAACCTTCTATTTAAGACCAATTACTTATGTATTAGTGCATTTTGTGTACACAAAAAATATATATACATACTGTTACGCCTTCATTAAAATGGTTGAGCAAATATGTTTAAAACTTTGGCTGAAATTGTAAGAAAATAACTTAAAAAGCATGTCTGGTTAGATTTCTGTTGCCACCAAATAGTTTTTTTTTTGTTCCATTTCCCTCTTATTTACCCCACAATGAAAAACATGAGCTAAACACTGATGAAGACATTATAAAGCATGAAGTTCTGAGGTATATTAATATCAGATGTTTATTCAAATTATTCATCAAACAATAAACAAATTTATTTCAAGTTCAGTGCTATTACTTAAAAGATGCCACTGATATATTTAAAAGGTTTTCATCATGAAACACACATGGGCAACATATGGTCCAAGGGTCTCAGTGGTATTAAATGAAAACAAAACAATTTTAATGAAAACCAGCCTTTTAATGATTAAACCTCATGTGGCTGAAAACAAAGTCCACATTAAACATTAAAACATTTTTCAGGAGCAGGTTAAACATAAACGTTTAAACAAATAAATAAATTAAGTTTAACATATTTTAAGTTAACGTGATGTTTTACAAGTGCCAACTCGACCCAGAAATATCCCCAGCTAGGATTAGAARTGGCAACCTTCTTGCTGGGAGGCAGCTTTCTGATGCACCGCGCCACCTTCCCTTAACCTAACAAGGCTTTCAGTAATTTCATTGTCAAAATGAGTTGTGAAAACTTGGATTTTTAGTCTATAGATGCTGCATTAAAYCAAAAATGACAACACTGGCCTTATGAGGACACCTCTATTGAGAGAGAGAAAAACAGCCACAATTTTTCTAGAATAATATCAGACAAAGTAASACAAAATAGAGCTGGTTGGATACACAATATATTTTARTTATTGGGGGTTAATGAGGCACCTTGAGTGGAACATGGTGAAGGATGGAGGAACTGAATAACARATAAATGGTCAAACTAGATGTGTGTGACCAATTGCTGGAAATTTTGATGTGAGGTGGGAATCTGGGAAATTCAACATAATGTAGGTTACTCATAAAAGCAACAGAGAGTGATTGAAAAAGATGGATGTTTTTAAATGGCTAGTAATTAAATTAAAGATTTAGTAAGAAACAATCAGCATTTATTGCAAGAAACTTGAAGATGGCAATAAATGCAATCAATTTGTGTAAAATGCAGACGTTTGTGGTGCATGTTTCATTTGAAAGCCGTTTTTGCTGTCTGAATTGTATGATTAAAAAATAATAATAATCTATAAATTCTATTTCTTGAAATTAATTGTGACAATAAATCAGATCAACATCAAGTTACAGGGGCAGCCATTCTTCCAGAAAATTGTTTAACATCTTTGTCTAAAAATTTCACAAAATTTCGCTATTATAATTCATTTTTCATCTAATTGTGTTGATGAATGTGTTTTATATTTATGAATATCAATAAAAGATTAAACGAATAAGAAAATGTCGAGTTCGTGCACAAACGTGAGCATGCACTTTCACAAAGAAAACGGATTTTTTTCAGAAGAAGAACAAAAGTGATCTAATGAATCAATAAATGTGGAGTTATCAACAGAGGTGACGTAATGTGTATGCTGATGGATCATTCCTGGACGGGGGGAGGAGGGGGTGGAGGAGAGAACAGCCTCTATTAGGTTCATCGGTCAGGTGTGCTCGCGCTCCCCCGCGCCTCAGCGTGCAGATGGTACAGTCCACATGCAGCTCGGAGTTTGTCGCCGAGGAGCTCCCACTGTTCAGCGCCGCTCAAACTGGCAAGTAATAACCGCTTCWGGCAAGGAGCAGCGGGCTGCGCTTCGTCTTAAAAACATGTTACCCTCCTCTCAGGGGAGACACCGGCTCGGACACCAGAGCAGGGTTGTAATCTACCACGTGCTCTGCATTGTTTCAGGTGAGTCCTGGTTTGTGTTTTTTTTTTTTCTGCTTTCTTCCAGCAGCGTCACACAGAAGTTTTTGTGACTGTCACGGTGCGTCGCGCATCTTCTCCAACAAACGAGTTAAGCGCAAACTAACGTTTTGAAAGTGTAATTTAATTGAAGTTGTGATTCTTTTTTTAAAATTAAGCTCAAATGGTGGCATGGGGATGCTAAAACTTGGCTAAAAAGAAGTTCGTGACAAGCAGCCCATAGGCTCCATCGACTGCGGTTAAAGGTGCGCAGGCAGAGGTTTAAACTAATCTATACGGCTGTGTCTGGTTCATTGGCAGCCATATTAGCTTCATAAAGCTTCAGAGTAAAGTAGCACGACGCTGGGATGCCACCTGCTTTAACAAAAGTGCTGAAGAGGGTCAGCCCCCATGTGCCCGCCGTGCAGCTCATTATGGTTTAATCAAAGACTCGGCTGTTTTACTCTCTCCACCCTGAAACATGTGCCCCAGCAGTGCTGCTTTCACATTTAAACCCCTCCAAAACGTTTGGTGCCGTGTTCTTCCTAAGGTAAGAAAAAAAAAAAGAGACAAACCATGACACAATGTTGCTTTAAAATGTGTGGAAACCACTCTCCTCTTCAAAATGTCTTTATAAAATAACAAAAAGTAAGCTGAATCCTTATTGTTCCTTTTTTAAAAGTATGTTTTGCAAGTGTAATGTAAAAGCCACATGAAAAACTCAAATTTCCAGGCAAACAAGAGATGACTCTTCCCACAAATAATGTGCACAAACCACTGTTTGATGTTGATGAGGGCCTCTCTTGCAATTAAGCAACAGGACTGTTCGTGGACAACAAGCTTTTGTCTGGTGCACTTTGACTAAAACTTCAAATTCAGACTCTCAGTAAAAGCCTAGAGACACTAAAGAGTTGCTCAAATATCGTTTGCCTTAATTGAAAGATGCCAATGCAAAAACACTCAACTACTCCTATTACTGTCCAAGGGTTTTGTCCCACATCTGATTGCACAGCTTTGAAACGAAATGCAAATTATACACGGAAACACGAGGCTTGTACAGGAATAGTGTGACTTTTGGTAGCGGTACATCAAACAACAAAGACAAAARTGGCAAAGAAAAGGGATATGATTTTTGGCAAAACAGAGGAAACACTGCACCTTTTAGTTCCCTAAGCATAGACCGATTTCACATTATAAAAGTACATGCTCATACTGACTTAGACTTTTTTTTGTTTTGTTTTTTTACGGGCATTTTGATATATATATTTTTACAAACACATTTTAAGATTGATGATTTTTACAGGTGTTGTTTTTCTTCGAAATGTTCAATTAAGAGTTGACAAAGTCGTAACAACTCTCTTTGATGTTCAAGTTATACATCAAACCACTAGCATTTTTTTTTCTTTCAGCCACTGTTTTTCCTCATATGACAGTTTGAGCCACTTGAGATAAAACACCAAACTTCCACAAGACGGCTATGAAAACAAAGATATAACCATTCTAGACCAGAAGTGCCCAAAGTGGGGCCCGTGGGCCAAAATTGGCCCACCAAACCATTTCATTTGGCCCACCAACAGTTGTTCTGGTTATTGGATTGTAATTATGTTCAGATTGAATATAAAATTCAAGTAACTACAAGAGACATTTAGATTAGATTTAAGCCCATATCTAGATTTGCACACCTTAAAAGACCCCATATATCTAATTTTTAAATTATGAATAGTTTCATGAGCCTTTGCTGACWTTGCATTGACTTTGCATACATTGAGTTTTCTCCATGTCCATGGGCTAAAAAAATGTAGGCAACCACACTAGCTCCTAGCTTAATCATAAAAATAAAACAAGTTTATGTAAGAAGTATTTGCATTTCTTATATTATTGCATTTGGCCCGCGACCCTCAGATCGATTTTTAATTTTGGCCCTCTTAGGGAAAATGTTTTTTTTAATTTAGGCCCTCTCAGTGAAAATGTTTGGGCACCCCTGTTCTAGACTCTTTCAGAAGATGCCCCATGYTGAGTGTTCTGACCACCTCTGCCCATTCCAAAGATGGAGTAGGTGAGAGTGGGAGCAGAAAATCCTCTCTGTCATGCCTGCAGAAGTTATCGGCACAAAAACTGGCTGAAAGCATGCAGCATCACAGATATAACCATGGTAAAAAGCCCTATTATTTTTAAACCTAAAATGTTTAAAAGACAAAGTTGGACTTATGTTTGATCTATTCAACATAATGAGTCAAAAGCCTGCTGCTCRGAGTGACAGCAACATCAGAGCAGATCAGTTTGTTTCCCCAAAGCCACTCACTGGTTATGTGCATGTAAATGCTTACAAGCAGACGTTTCTTCGTTAATTATTAATTACTCAACACACCACAGACATTGCAAGCATTGGGTATTGATTGGACAATTTCCTGTGAACAGAGTCCTCTTAGAGTTTCTTTTCCAGTTAGCAACCACGTCTCATTACAAACACAGAAAAACACAGCTGGAACGTCTGCCGTCATCATCCAACTTGGTTTATTTGTTCAAAACGGTACTAAGAAAATGTGGCTAAAGTGCACTTTTAAAAAAATACATTTAGGTCCATATCTAGAGAGACAACATTTTAATAATTTTGGTTCTGTATATTATCACAATGAATTTTGAACAAAACATTTGGGATGCAGTTGATGTTCAGATTCGCAGCTTCAATTCAGTGAGTTGAACAAAATGATTGCATAGAATGGGGGGAACTAAAGTTTTTTATTTTTTTGATGCGATCCTTTCATTTCAGGGTCTCAAAAGTAATTGGACAAGTTAAATAATAAATAAAATGTTCATTTCAAAGCAAAGGGTCCTCTAATTATAATTCTTGGTTTAAAACCCACTCCTAATATTGTAGCAATGTCTCCGGTGGTTGTTTTTTGTTTTCGCAGCATAAGGATGGCTTGTCCAGCTCTTCTGGCCGCATCTTTTATTCACAGCAAAATTTTCTGAATGCAAGCAGCACCTGAYATCAAGAAAGAATTGCCCACACCTGTAAATGAAATAGGCTTTGACTCAGTCAACCAGTTATTTTTGTTCCCATTCAAAGCCTGGTGGACACATGTTAAGGAGCTGAACTCCTAATCATTCATCCAGTTTTAATGTAGACAACCTCAAATGAAAGCTGAAAGTCTGGACTTTATGTCCATATTATTAAATTATAACTTGAATATGTTTCAGAGTCAAGAAACAAAACTTTGTGTCAGTGTCCAAATAGATATGGATCTAGCTGTAAGCTTCGTTTGACACATTTTTGATTTGAAGTTTTTGACAGATGGAGAAAACTTCTTGCTGAATCATTTATGTAAATGGGTTCTAAATGGATTCACCACTGGTGGCCAGTTTAACAGAACCAACCCAATRAACAAACAAGAAGCATAAAAACTGACTTTCTGGTGGGATGAAGTCCAACTTTTATTTTTAAATTTTTTTTGTCAGTTACCACTCAAATTTTTACTTTGAGCATGACGAGCTGCTCTTTAGCAAGATAAACACAATATTGCATTTCTTTACCACCACAAGAGACTCACTAAAGGTATTATTAGCTAAAAGCGTCAGAGTATTCCCCAGGAGCAAAGTGTTCTTATTGGCAGAATAAGTCAGATCTGTTTTTTTGCTGTGGCAAAGATATATATTGTGTTGAATTTGTAAACCAAACCAAATGTGTCTATAAAAGTTTTTATTTTATTTAAATCATAATGAGGATTCCCTTTTTAGTCTCTGGGGCATAGCAGAAATCATAGTTTAATGTCAAGCAATGCAGCACAAAACATATTGCCCTTATCATTATCACTCTTTTGCGGAGTTAGAGAAAACACAGGCACAGTTATGCAAGGTTGTCATCACATCATCATTAAAAATTAAATTCAGTTGCTGTACCTCTTCCATTTCAAATTCAGTGCAGGGGAAATGCTTTTTCTTTACTCCCACTATTTTCATATCTATTCCTGTCGTTCAGAAAGGCACAGAATCAGCTTTTTACTCAAGAAAGTGGATTATTCTTCTGTGTTGTTGTTGCTAGAGTATTTCCATACATCCATCCATTAGCTGCTTTATTCTATTAGTGTTGTGTGTGTTTGTGTAGGTGGAGTGTGTGTTTAGCCTGTCCCAGCTGGCAAAGAACATGATGCATTTTAGATAAGTTGCCAGTCCATCACGATGTGGCATTTATTTTTTTAGGTCACAAAATCACTTCAATTCAATGTTTCTCCAGTACTCTTGAAAAGGTTCATTAAACTTATATTTTTCCACTGGTAGCATTTTCTTTGAGTCACATTTGGTGTTTCAACCCCTTGATTTGTTTGCAGCACTGTTCATGTTGAAAGTCTTGTCAATAATGACCTTTCTTGAGATCAGTTACCTCCCTTTTTTTATTTCTTTCAAATACATGTACTGTGCAGTCTTTATCCTTATTATTCTTGGTGGTTTTGGTTTTTAAGCTGGATTTCGAATTGATTACTTCACACAGGAAAAACCAAAGTCGTTATGTTAGCGTTTGACTGTATAAGGGAAATTGTTCAAGTAGCATTTAGTCTTAAGTGAGCCTTCACCATTTTTGGGTTCATGCTATAATTGTGACTGAATATAACAATTTGAGGTTTGCACATTAGGTTCTGTAGAGTTCACTTGATATTGCTAGTTGTAAAAATAAATCCATATTTTTAAGACTATGTTGGCGTAGTGTTCYTTCTTGCCTTAAATTTTGTCTTTTGACATGAAAAAGTCTTCCAAAACTTCACTTGACTTTGTGCAAGAGAATTGATACAGTTTTGCAAGCAAAGGATCGTGATTTTAAATATTGTCTTGATTTAGCTTTTTCCTGATCAGTTTGCATTAATTAAAAATCTAATTACTACCTTGGATAGTTTTTTCAGTTAACAGTTTCCACTTGATACTACCCCTAAAATGCATCCTTTCTGCTCCTCACAGCACCTTTTGCTGAACCCTGCTGTTTTTATCTCCCTGCAATAAGATGGTTGGCCCATCCTTTCCCATTGTACCCCCCCACACACCCCCACGCTCCACAGAGGGATCACTACACTGAGCAGGTGTGTTTCTGCAACCGTTCCCCATTGCTGCTTAGACAGGATGCTGATAATGGTCTGCACTTCTGTTCTGAGTGTCCAGACTACAGTGGTCACCCCACCCACTGGGTGTATTTTCTGTAGGGGTGAACTTCCCAACAAACCCATTCAGTTTTTTAGTAAAACATTCATTCATTTTAAAAAATACACTCATGTCAGTTTTTCTTTTAAATATCACATCCTAAAGCTGTGGGGGGACGGCAATTTAAAAAATGTTTTTTACAAAGAAAAACAATCAATTTTAAGTTGCATGAATAAAAATGATGATTCAATGAGAAAGCAATGTTTTTGCTGGAATCTTTGGGCCCTGGTTTTCATGTTGATATTTTGATAACTTTAAGCCCTACTATTCACAACTGGTTACAGTTTCATTAAGTCTTACTTTTTTCTGATTGGTTCAAAAAGATCAAGGTTAACAGTGCAGAGAGATGTCAAACTCCAGTCCTCGAGGGACGCTGTTCTGCATGTTTTAGATGTTTTCCAGCTCCAACACACCTGATTCACTGATTGAATTAACTCTTCAAATTGTGCAGAAGCCTGTTAATCACCCAGCCATCAAAGTCAGGTGTGTTGGAGCAGGAAAACCTCTAAAACATGCAGGATTGTGGCCCTCGAGGACTGGAGTTTACATCCCTGATTCCATGATCAAACTCATTTTAAAGGTTTGTCTGCACTGCCTGTTTTTCATTCTTTTATAGAAATGAAGACATAAAAACAGATTCTAGTTTTTACTCAAAAAGTAAACCATTAAAGGAGTCACAAAATAACTGCATCACTTCACAAGGGCACCCTCTGACATGCCCTGCAGTGGGGGCTCGGGGGGGGGGGGGGTAAATTTCCAAGGCGGGAGAACTTTCTTTGTGTATCTGTGTGGCAGATGTCTGTTATGAAGTGACAGTTTATTAAGACACGTTCAACTGCAGTGTCTGTGCCAGCTGTTCAGAAACCGCTTCAGACGGCAGCATTTCTACAAAGAAAATGCTCAAGATCTCGAATCAAGAGGCTGTTTGTGATAAATCATCTACCTAGTTGCCATTTTGAGTAATTGTTTTAAAATGCAAATAATGTTTAAATTGCTAAATTGTGCTTTTGTTTGAAAGTCAAAAAGCTATTTCAGTGTATTCATCACTACCCAACTCTATTGCATGTATAGCATTTATACTTAATAAATTGTCTGAGTATGACTAATTTTCATTCTGTCACCAATCTTAATGTGATTTTTCATTTTTTATAAGCATAAAAATTTATCTATCTTGCAACCAAACATGAACATTTAATGGTTTTTAAAACTGAAAGAACTGAAAAATGTTTTTTTTTTTTTCCAACACCTGCACTTCTTTGTTTTGCAGTAGAAAACTCTCTGCACACAGTGCCAGTATTTCAGGTCCTGGCCCTCTTAGATCAAGATTGGTCGAAGACGGAGTTGTTTTTGGAAAAACAACAATAGAATATTTGGAGTTGGTTGCCAAGCAGTGCAACAGATTTTGTGATATCTATCTTCTGGCAGCTTGTTGCAATTAGTTATCTTGTTACAGATTTTGGCAGTCTGGTAGTGTTACTGTATATTATCTTTTTGATCTCCATAACACACTTCCAGTGTCTTCGTGTACTAAAATCCTGGTGATGTTTGCTTCCTCCTGTGTCTTGTATGCTGTTGTCTGTCTTCGCTCTCAGCCTTCTTTTATTCTCTCAACAATGTCATTTTATTAGCATAARGCTTCCTTTCCCTTTTTCTAAAGCAAGTGCAGTCTGTTCTTATCTCTTGGACCTTCCTCTGTGTAGCAGTGAGTTCTTGCCGTCAAGTCTGACTGCAGTTCTGACAGGTGCAGGTGGCGGAGTGCACGAGTTGGTTATATTTGAACAAAAGACATACACACAGTCTGGTTATAATTCCTGAATTCAGGTCAGTAGGAGGGAGGCTTTTTTCATGATTGGGAACACTAAGTCTCTCTGTAAGCTGTGCGTTGTTTGTTCAAGGCCTCAAAGCCTGCATTTGTGGTATAAAGTTAGAAACCCTATCTGTTCCCAAAATATGAGAGATGGAAAAAATATGAAATGATTTCTATAAACTGATATCTCCAATACTGTTTTCTTATGTTTTTGATATTTTTGACTGTAACTACAGGACTTGTCTGTCATTTTTAACAGAAAATGTGTTCCTCTAGTTGTTTTAAAAATGTTTTTAATCAGAACAGTTGTCTCTTATAAGGTTTTCAGCTATTGTCCTCTCTATGATAGGATCTCTGGGTTGCAGCATATATTGCTACTAAACCTGTCATGATTGAAAATGAATCACAGTCACAGATGCATGTTTTACCTCATGCACAATCCAACTTGTTTGAAACTTATGAAGTTATAAAGCCAAATTAGGGGTGGGCAAAAATATGTACAAATTGTCATCAAAATGTTATCTTTTAAAGAGCAAAAATGTCATTTAAATTCGATATTCTTCAATTCAAGTGGCGATATCTCTAAAAGATTGACTATTTTAAAAACTATTGAGCAGTTATGAAGTTAAAGGACATTTTAAGGGTTGAAGGAAACGTTTTACCTTTTTGTTTACTAAGTTATTTAAGTTTAATAAAGTGTTTTTTGTTTTGTTTTGTTTTTTTCTCTGGCAGGTGCGTGGTGCAGTCAGGTGGTGGTGCCAAAGAGGGTCAGTGCCGTGCTTGGAAAGAACGTCACATTAGAGTGCAGGGTGGAGGTTGGCTCAAACCTCACGCTCACTCAGAGTTCCTGGGAACGCCGTCTACCTTCGGGCTCTGTTGCTGTGGCGGTGTATAATCCAGAGTTCGGCACTTTCATCCCTCCAGAGTACTTAAATCGCTTGCATTTTCGCTCCCCCTCCTCTCACGACGCCACCATAGTGCTGGATAATGTGGGCTTCTCAGACGTGGGGAGCTACACCTGTAAGGTAGCTACGTTCCCCCTGGGAAACACTCAGGCCTCCACTACTGTCAGTGTTCTTGGTAAGTATGTTTATATTTTCTGCTGCATCACAAGTCTACTGCAAATTCTCTCTGAACCATAACCAGCGAGGCAGAAACAGTTGGTTTATGTATGTGTAGGTTAATGAACATTTTATACTCTTAAAGGTGTCCTGTCCTGGTCCTCAAAGGTCACTATTCTGCATGTTTGAGATGTTTTTCTGCTCCAACACATCTGATTTYAATGAATTAGTGATTAAAAGTATTCTGCAGAACTTATAAACATAATTAAATCACTGAATCAGGTGTGTTGCAGCAGTGAAACAAGTAAAACATACAGGACTTGGATTGGACACCCCCTCTCTAAGGGCAAACTGCACCTCCCTCACACACAGGACACGTCACATGTCACACACAAACACAGCAACAACACAATAACAGAGGGTTTGGATGAAGATGTCAGAGCAGTTGAAGTGAGATGAGTGGTGTATTTCACTGACTTTTCTGCACATCCACAAACTTTGGACCAATGGCACAATACTCGGCACATACCCACAGTGCTTATGCACAGAACAAGGACAAAAACGCAGGATTTTTTTTTTTTTGAAAATAAAAACAAATTTCAACACATCTTGCAGAATATAAATCAGCATTAAAGTTACAGCTATTTCTGCATATATCAGAACAAAGAGTACTTAATCCAACTAAGAGATCAAACAAATTTAACTAGGATTAAATCCTTTGTTTTTGTTCTTCTAACTACATACACTTAGGTTTATTAATATAATGGGGTTTAGATGCATCTTGGCAGTAAAATAAAATTCGTCCATTAAAAACGTATATTTGTTGGATGCTTTGGGATAGTTAGGAATTATTTATTCATTTTGTTTTCTGAACACCTTTTTTTTWAAATGTTTTCAGTCAATCAAATTGAAAGGTTAGTTTCATACTTCCTGTTTATAGACTGCAGAAAAAGTAGGTAGATTGTCTTAATACTGTGCTGTTTGATCAGAAGGAAAAGCAGAAATCTAACAGCTGTCTTGATGCTGTAGGTCCTTCCCTACTGCATGAAGAGAATTTAATTAGTAAAGATGGCTGAATGAGTTTTTCTTCTTTAGATTTTCCCCAGTTGGCAGGCTCACGTCGCATATCAAGAGTTTATGATAATTAAATGCTTTGAATGGTATAGATGTATAGCTTATCTGTTTGTGTATTTGCAACACTTGTGTTGAAAAAAAATTGAACCAGATTGAAAAATATTTTCCCGGTAAGGGTAGCTCATATTAGACTTACAGTTTCACAGGTGACAGTATAAAAACACAAAAATGGATTTGGTGCAACGTTACTAAAACTTCAACAATGTTCAGATCATGTGGAAACTCTTATTCTCTCCTAACAATTAATATTTGTGGAAATGTCATAATTCACGCTCTTTATGTTGTCAGGGTTATCATTTTGATTGATGTAGAGTTGCAGAAAATATTTTGCAACACATCAGAATCGACTGCTTGGACTAAAATAAATGGTAGGCCACACTTTTAAAATGCTTGTCAGAAATATGTTTTGCCTATCAGATTGTTTGTCCTGGATACCCACTCCTGATAAAAATGATGGTGAAGCACACAGTGTTGTATCATGGCAACTGCAGGAAAGCTGAAAGATTGAAGAAAAAGTAATTATAATATTTAACAATATTGCATGTTGCTTGTTTTACTAATACCAATGCAGTTCTAGATTTATTTCATCAGGGAAATGTATGTTGCAATAAAAGCACAAAAAAATACTTTGAGACATGATCTGGATTGTGAGTATTGTGAATTTGTCCATTTTACCTTCTGTCCCAGAATATTCTCCATTGCTGTGATGTGACTGACTTTCTCCATAAAGGTCTGCTTTTAATCTGAAATTTTCAGAGCCAATGGGAAGCATCACAAATAACTAGTTTAATCAGGGTCTGTAACCAATTATGAATTATTTCCTCAGCTTGTTTGTAATAACAGGTTCCACAGTTTTGCTTTCAATTCTGCTGAGGGGATTACACTTCTTCCATTTGGGCCAGTAGTTGTTGGTACATGCTCAAAAACCCAGTGTGTGCAACCACTCAGTCTGTTTTCACAAAGCGGATCATAAGGATGACTGGAGCTTCTAATGAAGTGTTGAACTAGGGATGTAGTAAAGCAGAAATTCTGCAAATGTTTTTCTGTAATGCAGACTAAAGCTGAAAAAGTTATTTTCTTTGCGTTATGCAGTGGAGCCAAAGGTCTACGTGTCTGCTGGTTCAACTGCCCTGATCGACGGTGGCAATGAAACGGTGGTGGCCACCTGTATCGCAGAGCGAGCTCGACCCCCCGCCGAAGTGTCGTGGGAGTCAAACCTCTTCGGGCAATCAGAGGTGCAGCCTTTTGATGACGTCAACGGCACAACCAGCACACAAGTCCGCTACATATGGCAGCCCACGCGACACGTCCAGGGCCAAGCACTCACCTGTGTGGTCCGCCACCCAGCCCTGCATAATGACTTCAGGATCCCTTATCAGCTCAATGTGCAGTGTAGGTCCAACAAACTGTCTCTGTGTATTAACATAACTGAGGGAGAATTTCGTAGTAAATTGTTTCTAAATAATTAAGTTGAGATACTTCAACAATCTACACTTAAATATTTCTTACAACTATAGTCTAGTCGTTATTAAAGAGGGCAAGTACAAACGTGTTTGTTTTATGCAGGGTCACAAGCCAGAATTACTGTTTTTTTAATCCTCTCTTATGTTCCTGAACATTTTATAGCAGTTGATTCTTTACTATTTCAATTAAATTCAAATTGTAGAATACTTTATTGATCTCAGAGGGAAATTAGATAATAAGCATAATAATAGACTAGTTTTTTTCTGCTCTGCAGTTGCTCCTGATATCTCAGTCGTGGGGTATGATGGGAACTGGTTTGTGGGCCGTGAAAATGTTCAGATGGCGTGCAAAGCCAACGCAAACCCACCAGCTCATCACTTCAGATGGATCAGGTGTGTGCCTGTTTTGTGTTTACATATTGGTTGTAATTGACACAACAGAGAACGGGGCAGGATCTGAGAAGGAGTTGTATCAGGCAATTTTTGAAGCCATAGCAGAAAATACGTTCTTGTAATTTATGAATTAGCCTCATTAGGATTTTTTAATCTGTTTGGATTAATTTAAAGGCTATAAATGCGTATTTTTCAACAAGTACACGTATTTTTGCTGGTAATTTTCTGCTTAACTTGTTTCATGGGGGGAGGAGGAGGGCTGAAATGTTAAAGTTCAGCTGGTTACAGTACACTGAAACTCTAAAGGTATAGCAATATTTAATTTTCAATTTTCCTATGTGCCCTGACATTGGCAGTAAAACTTAGTTTGCCTTGACCATAAAACTTTAAGCACTTGTCAAGCACACCATGTCCTAAAACTGTCCAAGAAAAGCTGCAGAGATGAACTACAGCTCGTCTGCTTTACTTAAAGACAGGAGTTTAACTTTGTCYGCTAAAGAAACAGAAATGACGACAAAATTCTGAACGTGGTCTGTGAATCTTGGCTAATCTCACAAACTGATGTGATTCTTCAGGTAATGTTTTTATGCATCTGTGTTGCTTTATCTCTTTAATATTTTACCTTCAATTCTACTGTCTGACAACTTTTTAATGTACAAATTCACACTAATACCTTTTAGTTGAGAACTAATCTGCTTCATAGTAACTCCTTAATCAGATTAATAAGACAGATTTCTCAAACTGCATGAATTTGATTTAATTCAGACATAATTCATATCTCATACAACTAATGTTGGCATGCTGAAGCTATATGTTGTGTGTTTTTACATCAATATAACACCAGAACTTTAGTTAATTAAAACTTGTTTTTAGGTTGCAGTCTTTTAATAATGTACTTAAATTAAGTAAGTTTCTCTTTGCAATATCAAAATGTTGTTTTCTTAACATTGTATCAAGTTGTAAATGTGATCACAGCTCATCAATAGAAGTTGAGCCACTGCTTCAGCAATTAAGGTGTTGAATTGTTTTAAATCATAATTACTGTATAAATATTTCATACCTTTTTTATAAAAACCTGTTTATCAAACTCTGTCTTTAAGGCAGGAGAGGAGAAGTGTAAAGTAATGCAGTAAAACTTTTGATACTTGTAGTTTAAAAATCTCAGAAAAACAGAACAAACACAACTAAAGACTTCAGCTTTCCTGTTCAGACATTACGGAGTGTTTTGTACCTAGCATAACCATTAAAATAGTTGMAAATTATCCTGTATTTGACATTTAAAAAGTAACATGCACTCTTGCTTTTATTTATGCCTCTGACTGTCCTTTCTGTTCGTGCTTCTCAGACTGGACAGTGAAATGCCTGAAGGGGTAGAAATAAGAAACAACACTTTGCTCTTCCTGCGTCCGCTCCATCGCAACGACTCGGGCGTTTACAGGTGCGAGGTCGCCAACGACATCAACCTCCGCAGTCGGGATGTGCGCATCCTAATACAAGGTGAGCGGCGTTTATAGACTGGGACAGAGCTGACTCTGGCTGCTTCGTAGTCTCTTAGGAAGTACGGTGCATGCGTGTACGTCATAGAGGGTATCACTGCCTGTGACATCGTCCTTCAAGCTGAAATGTGACACTGCATCGCCCACTGACAGAATCACCCTTGGTGCAGTGGTTTGGATCTGATCTTAGATCTAGTTTTAATTGCATGCTGATTAGTTTTGATTAACATGAGGTCTCCAGATGTTAAACAAGGAGTTCCTGGGTCAAACATCTGCCAGTGTTTAAGTCCTGTTAAACCACAGTCCACTGCCTTTCTGTCCCGCTGGCTCGGTGTTGAAACACTTCACGTCTCTGATGGGAATGATGAGCATGCTCCTCTGGTTTCACAAAATCTTCCTTGCCTGTGGAAACTCTGTTCTTCAATGAAGTTTTGATTATTATGGGATTTCTTTTCCCCCCTTTTCATGTTCCTCCTTTTTTGTGTCTCTTTTTTTTCCTATTCTGCATGTGTCATGCAGTAAGAGGCGAAAGCCTGCAGCCTCACTGTGAGATGATGTCCCAGATTCATGAAACATTAACTAGTCCTTTTCAACTCCTATTTATTATTTATCATCCATATTTCATTTTCCTTTGAGAGGGCCTGTGTGTGTGCACAAGCTTGCACATGTTAGTGTACGCTTTGTTGTATGTGTTGTTGTGGGTGTGCTCATGTCAGTTCACTGCCTCTGCACAAAGTCATTCAATTTATACACTTGAAAACAACAAACCTCTGGGTTCATGTTTCAGATCTCTGAGCTGTGAATAGTTGCCTCACATCTTTGGTCTTTAAATGACGTTYAAGTATCAGCAGTTTGCATCTGAGCTTTTTCAGCTCAGATTTGTACCGCTGCTTCTGATTAAACCCTTATGTTTTGTCTGTGGGTAAAGTCCTTAACGTAGTTTGTTTTAGGGCTGGTTTTCTTCCATGTAACAACATATTCAAACTAATTAAAAATTTAACATAATTATCCAGCTGCAAAGAACCTTTTAAGGTTAAGAAACCAAATAATTTAAACTCTTAAAGACAAATTTTTCCCTCCATGTAAAATTCTAATTTGTATACAGGATAGTCTGTTTTACTTAAATTTTATTTATTTATTTTTTCCATCCTTTGTCACTTCATACCTAACTTAGRGCCAGCAGCAACAATCTCATATATTTGTTACTCAGTGACACACCAGTCATTCAGATGGTGAGCAGAATGGGATCATTTTCAGCTTAACCAGTGATTAGATGATCTGAAACTCACAAATCCAAGTTAGTTGTTTATGTGAAATAAACACCAGCTAAGCAGTAATTAAACCCAATTAGTTGTTGTGCAATGTGTTTGAAAGTTGAAAGTGAAGTCAGGAGAAGTGTCATAAGCAACTAAAAGAACATAAATAAATCAATCAGGAGGATTGTGTGACTGGTATTGTTGATCATGGATGCTGGTTTTATCATAATTTGGTGACAAAATTCATTTTCACTTRGCTGTTCGGCCATTTTAAATTGGTTGTGTAAATACAGGTTGAGAAATAGTAAGGAAAAAATAGTTTTGGGACTGTGTCCATAAAATGTTAATTTGAAGCTGTGTACTCTGTCTTTAATCCTGTTTAGAAAGATGCATTTAAATGGAGACGAAGCTTTTTTAGACTGTTTTTTTTCTTATTACCTTGCCCCTTTGTTTCTCGAAAAAAGCTGAACAAATAAAGTTTTTAAGTATTTTGAATATGGGGAGTTATTCTAACCATAGTTGGATATATTTGAACCAAATATTATATTTTTATTCTTTTCATGCAAAACAATTTTCAAACCTGAGGCCTCTGTGAGCAGATGCACTATAGTTTAGTTGATGTTTGTCTTCCTGTCCCTTCTTAGTGAAATGCTGATGTAGCTGTTCATCTTTCTCTCCCTTTCACTCTCCATCCCCCTCTCACCCTCCCCCCCTCCATTAGATCCTCCCACCATGCCTTCCACCATTACTGCTCCTGTCCTAACCAGCTCTTCCACCTTTGTGGTTGAGAAGGGCCATGTCCTTCTCAGCTCCCCCACACTCGAAGCCCTGCCCCAAAGTAATATTGGCACCATAGTGGGCGGGGCCGTGGGCGGGGCATTGTTCCTGCTTCTGGTCTTGACTCTGGTCGGAGTGTGTTACCTGCGGAAACAACAGACTTTTCARGGCAGCTACTACGCCAAGCAGAACCTGGCTCCCATTGAACTCCAGAAGGCCCCCCCGCAGCACGAACTCCGTCCAGGTAAAGCAGGCGGCAGCTCTCGCAGCCAGGACCACGACCGGGAGGAGTGGGGCGACCGTGAGCTCAAACGCGACCGGCGTCACTTCAGCAACTTCAACGGAGAACCGTATCCCATTAACGGTTACACAAGGGCCATGAGGGAGAGCYGGCGCCTCAACCATCAGCAGACTGAAAACACCCAGGTTTCTAGTCCACAACAAACCAGGAACACCCGATATGCTCACTCACCTAAACCGCAGAGAAACGGCGCCCCCTACCTGTCGGATGACTGCTACGATAGCGGGGCTGAGGGTGATTATGTGTCTCACACTGATGGCTCAGTCATCTCGCGTAGAGAGTGGTACGTTTGACAAGCTGCATGGTTCTGCAGAGGCAGAAACACGAGAAAAAAGCTATTAGGAAAAAGAACACCTTATTACTTTTCTATACGCACACACACCTTTACTAGACTACTCTGTAGTTTAAGTTCAAATGTCCAGGTTGACACTTGAAACGGGAGGCTTATGTTTTTGACATGGACAGACAGGACACTGTCCATTTAATTTGACAGCCTGCATATTTAGGCATGTTAGTACTTTATGTGTTATTGCCTTACGACATGAACAACATTTAATTTAATGTATTTTCAGTTGAACCCAACAGGCTTTCAGGCTGTCTTAAAGTGTTCATTACCTCATATGAAATCTGTTATTTTCTTGTTTGAAACTTGCAAACGGATCATTTCATGCCCACGTCTCAGACCCTCCCTGTTTAGAGCTGCAGATGTAGCGTTTTGCAAGATACCGTAAACGTCTCAGATTAATTGAACAACTCTGAACAATTTTTAAATTATGAAGTTTGGTCCTTTGATGGATTCTAGCAGTTCACTTTAAGCCTCAGTCTTTTTTGTAGAGAGAATCATAGTAAATATTAATGAAATCCTAAAGCAACAGTTCAGATCTTTTGAAGGTAGTGTTCAATAGAATTGTTATGAATAATTAATATCTTACCTGTTGTAGGTAGATGGCTGTTTAAAAACAATCTCAGATTGTAGAAGTGATTTATTTCCGAGTGGATTGAGATGATGAATGGTTGGAGTCTTCAAAATCTTTTGTTCTTTTGTAAGAAGCTAGCTATAGCACTTTGTGTGCATCCGAGGACATTTTCAGCAGAAATATCCAATTTCTTCCAAAATAAATGTAATGCAAAAAAAAACTGGCAAGTTTCATCAAATGTTTACAGAAACATCTGACATTTTTGGAACTAGTTACTTTAAGATAATAAGATAATCCACTTTAGACTTGCTCTGACCAGCAGTTTAGCTCTTCAGTCAGAATTTAACTTTTTCTATGGATCAGAGTTGTTTAAAGATCGATCCACAACAGGTAAAATACTAACTGTTTATAACATTTCCATAGATCCTCTCTTTAAAATAGCTGAACTATTCCTTTAAAAAAACAGCTTTGTTACAAATTGTCCTTAAAGTCAAATAATCAAAGTTGAAAAATTAATTTATCAAATAAAAATGTTTGTAAATGTTTTTGTTAAAAACATTAAGTGATTTACTGTAAAAGATTTAAATGAGCATTTATTTCTAGAAGCAAGTTCATTTTGCTGTTCAGTACATTTTTCAAGCTGATAAAAGTAAAAAAAAAAAAGCTACAGTGATTAATTCAGACCAAATTTAAATTCATTGTTTAAATAATTGTTTATTTTTCACACACAGGTTGTTRATGTAGGATATTCTCAGATGTGACTTTAATCTGACTTGAACTGTGAAGATCTGTAGAGTCGAAATGAAATGAGGCCGTTTTGTTTGAATGTCTTCTTTAACTGTCAAAAAAAAGCTCTTTTTTTCATGTGTTTTTTTTATTTTCACTTGTTGTATAAAATCCTCAGCTGAAAGGTAAATTTATACGATTTAAATGGTTTAGTTCCCATAATTCACAGCGACATGGCAGAGCCATAACACACTAAATTAGTCTCTCTGATAAATCTGGATTCCTTAATGACTGATGGCCCGTGCACACTTGTGGTCGTAAAACGAACCGCACRGCCTCTATGATGGATGACTGACTCATCAGACTAATTTGTTTTCAACAAAGTCTCTGCTCTTGTGTTAATATCCTGATGCAAGAATTGAGTGTTTGAGGACTTGAACACTGTGTGTCCTGCTGATAAAATGTGAACTTCAGGGTGGGCTGAAGAACATCAGAGCCTTAAAATGCAGGACATGACGCAAACTTAAGTTTTGTAGCAGGGAAATATTTATCTACTTTAACATTGCTTTTACTAAATTTCGGAAGGATTTCAGGTTAATTATCAATTTGATAAAAAAAWATCACGCTTTTTCCTGTTTGTCATAAATAACGGGTGTTTAGGACTGTAAAGACTGGCACCAAATGAGGGCTCCTGGATATTGAAGAGTGCAGTCAGCAGGGTGGTGTTTGAAGTAAGCTTCTGCACAGCAGTCAGAACTTACTGGCCAAAAAGTATTTTGTTGCACAAAGACATTATTTTAGCCAAAACACTTTTCATTATTCAGCTGCTGATGATTTATGTTTTCTATTCTGAACAACAAAACTGTCAGTTAAACTCTGAGGCTCTTTTTGGCATTTTGTTGCTCTCTTTTTTTCTTTTTTTTTAACTAAACGTGCAATTATGTTACAGCGAACAAAAAAAAAAGAATCTAAATTAGGAGGGCACATTTACTTTTTCTCACCTGTGATTGTCGGCACTTTTAACTCCTCTGCAGCACCGACGTGACAAAACTCTAACATTCTGTGGAGAGTTAAAAATGAAACTCATTTCAGGCTGCATTTAACATGAATTCATTCTGTTGCCAATCAATACAGGAAGTACTGTGACTTAACCTAGAAGAAAAAGCTTTTTTTTATGTTTTTTGTTTACCGGTCAGTGTTTTGGGGGCTGCAGAGCACTAATAGTTCACACGTCKAACACTGACGAAGCTATCATGGATGTAAAGTTTTATAAACAGATCAAAGCGATTGTATTTTAGCACTTGCAGCCTCCGTCTACTAGACTGCATGGYGGAGATCGATTTCTTTTTGTGTACACTGATTGTGAATACAACTATAGTCTGGTCACTTTGCAGCCAGTTGCCAAACTCCTGTTTAACTTGTATTTAGAAGTAGGARAAAAGTGTCTGCCATAAGTATTACTGACTAGCAGATCATAATGTATTGCTGTCGTGTACAGGGTAGCCTGAAAAAGATGCTTTATTATTAGAGATGTTAAAACYAGATGTTTAACTAATAATTGTGAATTTTGTGCAGCGACTAAAAGCTGCGAATGTAAAGCGATTTAATGGAGAGCCACTTCAGCTAGCAGCAGATAATATAACCCTCATAGTTTTATATAGTTATTGTTTCAAACACTCGTGCAGTGAAGTAGAATCGGACAAASGGTGCTCATTTCAGGAACGTCTGTTGGTTTTTTATTTCACAACGAAATGAATGAATCAGACTTTTTTTTTCTTGTTTCGTGTTTGAGATTTCTGCAGCCATCCCAGGTTCATGATTGTGTGGAATTACACTTTGTTTAAAATCTCACACTGCTTTAGGAGGAAATGTTTGGCTTGATAAAGTGTGAAGACAGAGAAACCAGGGCAGTGTTTCTGCAAAAAACTATTGTTACATTTAAAACTGAGAATATTCTGTCCAGATTTTTTTTTTAATTGGGGGAGTAGAAAAGGCATCAAAAGCTTGTTGTGTTGAAAGCAGAAAGCCCAGCTGGTGCCCACACCGCTTTGGTTCGATTAAATTTAAAAATGTTTTCGGGTTCAGCTTCCTCTATGTATTACATCAAGCTGGATGCTTTTTTCACCAAAAAAAAAAAAAAAACAGGAAGCACGGCACCGTGAACCCCTGTGCGTTTGCTTCTCTGCACTAAATTTTCTTTAATCGATGAACTGTTTCTGCTCGCCTCCTTTTSTTCTGAGCCTCACATTTAGACTAATGAAGGTCTTTTGTATGAAAATGCTGTATAGAAATCAGTGGATACCCTCTCGTCGAGAAATGTCTAAGTTGGGACATAAAACTAGTGCCTTAGATACTTTCTTAGATACTAGATTCTCTTTGTTGCATCTTCGTGCCATATTCACTCTGCTGCCATGTCGGAGTATGTTTGCAAACCTGGAGGCATTAGAAACGGAGCAAAGCTGAAGCTGGGATGAATCTTGGAGTTAAACGATGACATCATCTCTGCTACACGTGCATCCGTCAGGGGTTTGGGTTCCTGTAAAAGTCACTGTTAAAGAGGCTGAATCAGTTTCACAATGTCAATAATAAAAGCACCTTGTGGTCTTGTTTTGTATATATTGCAAAATATAAATTAAGTTTGTGGGGGAAAAAAGGATATTTATGTTGGTGACAGCAGTGGAGCATTATTTTGTCAATCCTTTTTTTGAGAAACTATTGTCGAATAAAGCACCTTAGCACCTGTGAGTTTTATTATTTTTATTATTTTTTCTCCTCTCTGGAGCTTTCTCAGCTRGCTGTTTCTCAGGCTGCTCAGTCTCTTTGTTCATCTATAAATGACATCATCTCTAGCTCCCCAACGCTTACCGCTGCACATCACCCCACCCCCCCTTAAATTCCAGCGTGCATATTTGGGACGCTGAACATGATGTAATTCAAAAGCCTTTTTTTTTTTTCTTTCACTTTCTCAGTTTTACTATTGATCTCACTCTGATTTCAGCTGGTAATTTGTACCYTTTGTCACATGGTTAGCTCGCTGAACTGTCTCCCCTCTGGTATGTCTGTGGTCAGAGGGGGGACCCAGCACCTCCTGTCTCCATCACCAGTTTGCTTTTGTTTCAGGACAGAGGCCTCCGCTCTCCCTGACAGCCCCCCCCCCCCCCCCGTGTCTTTTCTCCCACTGTCTACCAGCTGGTAAAATTAAACGCTGAGTGTTTCCGACTGGCCCAAAGTCCCCACTCTCCAGCCCATTGACTGTCCCCATGGCAACAGGCTCATCTGGAGCTGCTGATGGAGGCTGTCTTCCTTACCTGGTCACAGAAAACCTCTGTGAAGCTGAGAGGTTAAACCAGGCTGCTGAWTTTTTTTTTTTTTTTAAGCTGAGTAGAAAAAGAGAAGCTGTTGGGAGGGAAAATGGGCCCATTACTCTGCTGCTTCAGAGAGGGCACTCCTCTGGCTGGGAGGATGCAGGCGACCAGCGTGACCTTGACGTAGCTGAGGTCGAGCTGCAGATCCTGAGAACAGTCTCGCTTCAATAAAAAAATAAAAAGTCCTGCAGAMCTTATCGTGGTCTCGGCAGTTGTCACTCTGACCTAAAAGTAGGACAGTCTGAAAATAAATGCTGGAGCAGCTCGGTGGCTCTGATGACGTCATCCAGCAGAGCTTGGATTTTGTTTTAGACACTTTGTAGATCAGCAGATTTGCTTTTTCAAGTTTTTTCTACAACGAATGAAAAAAGTAAATCAAAACATCTCAGTGTGAGGGAGAGGCAAGGATCTTAAAACCAGCCCCCCCACTATGCCCCCACTATGCCCCCACTATGTGCACACGACCCTGGAGGTGTTTTTCACCCTGCTCTTGTACTTTTTGCCCAGGAGCGCATTGTTTAATTCATAAGTCCACGGCTGACCTCGCTCTTCTCCACGGCGTCTGCTGAAGAGGAAGAGTCCTGCAAAGGACAGAAGGGAGGCAAGTCTTCCGCCAAATCCCAGCGTGGGGACAGGCTGAGCCAACACCAGTAATCTGTGGTTCAAATGGACACAAAAAAAGCTCTGGTTGTCTCTGAACGTAACCGAGTCTGAGCAGTTTGCATCCTTCGTGTCTCTGAAGGGCTTTAAGTGTTGACAAGCAGCCAGCTTGATGAAATACATTTTAAAGACATTAACTCCAGGCCTTTGTTGGAGCTCGGTGGCCATCAAAGCTAATCAAAAGGTTATTAATTGTTTCAGGACAGCGGAGACCTCCAAACCCTTCAAACTSTTTAATTTAAACTGAACGTGTTGTTTAAGAATTCTCATCTCAGCACATTATTGATTTTTACCCCCACCTCAGCAGCCAAATGAGAGGTGGAATTGACCATTAAACATTTTTGCCTCCTTTGTCCTRCATCCTCCGTCCCATGTTCAGCAGCTTCGGCCACTCGCTGCTGATTGGCCGAAACTCCTGTTTAATGCATCTTAATCACAATTAATCCTAATCCCCTCAGTGGACCCAATGCAGCATATGGTCTAACAGCTAATTCAAGATATACTCTTCGGAAAAAATATATTAGAAAAAGACAGAGGAGCTACAAAATATAGGGATTAATYAGATGAAATCACATTTCTCCAGTGTCCACGTCACGGTGCCACAAACAAAAAGGCTGAAGTTTTCTTGGACATGTCCAGCTCTTTGACACATTAGATTAAAGCAAGTTCTGTGTCAAGATTGTTCTTTTAATAAAGCAGATTAAGTGTCACTAAATAACCTGCTCACATTAGATTTTATTCAGTCACAGTAAATCTTCATTATTAGATGTTTGGTCTTCAGTAATGCTTTACTCTTGAAAAACCTGTAGGAAGTGCTGTTTGTGTGTTTGATGAGTGGGCTGACTTTTATTAGCTAAACAAGCTGCATTTCTTTACATTTTATATATTAAACCCTGTTAGATGTGTGCAACTCCTTTAATGACTGTTTGCAACTTGAAACTGTGAGGAAAAAATGTGACATTTTAGTTGCAGACTCACTGATTAACAACCACTAAGCCACGTATCTGTGTTTTAAGTGGCCATTTAATTTGTGTGTGTGTCTGAAAGGCTCACAAAACTGTAGTGGTTCCCAGCCTATTTTACTCAATGCCCACCTTTCTTTCCTCCAAGTTAAGCTGAGCTCCCCATTCCTCGCTACAAAATAAAGAATAAAGTTACAAACTTTATTTATTTTTGGAAAAGAAAAAAATGTTGAAATTATTCAAATGAACTTGGTGTGTGTGTTTTAAATTTTTATATAAAAACAAATCGAGATTTTCACAACTTCTGGACAGACAAGGTTATGAACACTTTTTATGTTACACTCTAGGAGTGGGCAAACGTGGTCATCAAGGGCCACTACATACTCYCAAAGCTGACCCACTTCTGGCCCACACAAAGCACACTCAGCCCAGATTCAGCTAAAAAAAATGACGGCCCTTTGGTGGCCCAGATGTGGTTTACCAGAGATGGTCCATGAACAGCCCAGCACCATTTGAACCAAACCTGGGCCAGTTGTGGCATGTCATCCTAAAAACAGTGCTATCATTGCCAGGCCTGGCCCACACCCTCTGCTGTGTGGGTGTTTCAGGTGTTTCTTTGATGCACCTGGGATTTAACAAGTGAATAAGAGGCTTCTGCGGAAGCTGAAGTCCTGCTGTAAAGCAGAGAAACAACTAAAGCATGCAGGAGTGGCCCTCGAGGATTAGACTTCTGCTCTGGAGGTTATATAAACTGAACTGAGGACACCAGTGACAATATTTTGAGAAAAAATGTGTTGAGCTTTGGATTTGTACATATTCACAATTTGATTTCCTTTCCAAATGATAACTGCAAGCCTCTGAGGCTCATGCCAGGAACTTGACAACCCCCACAAACACTGAGCTGGAGCTTTGAGATTTGATTCTAACTTTCTAATAAACTAGAAGCTTCTGTTTTCTGTCTCAGATCAGTCTCAGGCAGAGAGGTCCAACTCCATCACCGTGGCCGGAGCTGTGATGGGTGCCGTCCTCGCCCTGTTCCTCATCGCGGTCTTCATCACTGTGATCTTCACTGCTAGCAAAGCCCCTCCTACAGCCTACACTGACAAAGTGTAAGTCCCCACACATGATTCATGCAGGGGAAATAATGACACCATGCCTGGAGAGAGGTAAACTGTAGGTTCAGGGAGYTGGAAGATCAGTTCAGTCCTGGCAGCAAAGCCCTTCTTCACGCTGTTCCTGCCGTCATTACTGTTAGAACAAAGAGGATAAATAATTTAAGAGATATGTCAGATTCCTCTGACTTACAAGAAACAACTTAATACCAGATTTTTACAAAACAAAGTAAAACATTCAAAAAGTGCTCAACATGATTTCATCATTTTAAGTTTTTCTGAAGTGCTGCRGCAAAACTGCCTTTCAGAAAACATTTACGAAACACAAACCAGACGTGCTTCTTTGAGCAGAACATTTCTCATCAYTACAAAGCAAAACAAATTATTTTGCCCTTTTTGTTAATTTAAAGTAGGCGGCTTTGTGAAAATACATTTTTAGCCTGTGTGTTCACTAATTGTAGTTGTTTAGCTGCCTTTAGGGGCTTCGTAAATATGTTTCCTTATTTTTTATAAATAAATTAATCTTCCTATAAAAAGTAATTTCATCTCAGCTGCAGAAATGTCAGTGATGCATGAAAATGAGTCTGATATTGATTATTAGAAACAAACTTGAATACTCCTCCCCCCCCTCTAGAGAATGTGAACACAGCCACAGTTATTTTATCTCCTCACTCAGACTGGATTCTGTGGATTTGGAACATTTCGCTCAGATTACAGAGAATTATAAAAGACATTGACAACATCAGGARCCTCCTCCCCCATCTTAAACGCCAGCAGTAAATGTCATGAATTATGACCCCTCTCTCTGTGGGTGTGGGCCCTGCATCACTGTGCTGACGCTACAGGACGCTCCGTCCAGCCCGTGTGCTTGGGGTGGAGGGGTGGAAGGGGCGGGGTGGTCAATGCCACGACAAACTTAGCATCTTAAGTGTGACCGTGGGCTGGAAGTCCCGGAGGAATGAGTTTGAAGAGGGCGGGGTGAAGAGTGGACGCACTCCTCGCCCCTCTCCTTCATCACACACAGGCGAGTGTAGGACAGCAGGTCACTGAGAGCCCCGGCTCTAAGGTGTGTGTGTGTCTGTGTGTTAGAGAGAGAGACAGCAGCAGGAAAATCAATGCTTCTCACATCTTTTTTTATGAATTGCCAAGGTCAGTTTCTAGGTTTCAGTAAATGAGTGAAAGGCTCAGACTCGGAGCAGCTGTCACAAATCTTCCATTTTCCAGATCCGAGCTGAAGTCTGTGACCTTTATCCACAAAATCCTGCTGACAGGGACACCTGACAGAGTTTACCCTCTCACAATGGGCTGTGTGAATTGTCTAGATTTAATTAAAGCTGTGATAATCGCCCACAAAGCATCTCCTCCTCTGCTCGAAAACTTCTCACGACTTACACTTTCTGTTAGTTTCACATCGTTTCTCCTAAGAACTGAACCCAAATAAGATCATTTATGGGCTGTTTCTGCAGCTCTTCCCAAAACTTGATCTTGAGATTAGGTTTTTTGCAGCCCTGTCTGTTTTATTCATGGTTTTATTTTAGCATACTCTGCTGAAACACTAACATGTCTCCTCACTGCCGTGTGTGTTATTTTTTTCTTCTTCCTCTGCGAAGGATTGACCTTCCTCCGACTCACAAGCCGCCCCCTCC